AAAATTCTAGGTCATTTAATGCTGAAATTAAATTTTATCGAGAGCAGCACCTCTACAAGTTTATAACGAACCTAATTAATATAAAAATGGTTGTTTACATATGAGAAAAATTTCTTGCAGTTTTTAATTTATCTTAAAAAGCATTCTATTTTTAAATTGTCTTACTAGACGTTTTTCTTCTAAAATTGACAGCTTAATACAATACAAAAGAATTTCAATCATTTCTAATTATAAAAATGTTTTAGTTTTATTACATTTTTTATTTTACCATTCATGGAAGATTTTCTGTCACTGGAAGTTCTGTTTGTCCAAAAACATTTGAGTGTGTAAAATGTAAATTCTTCGAGGACTTGTCCTTATAACATATAAACATTTTATAAAATTATATGACGTGGGGATTTTCTAAAAAGAAACATTTCAAAAATAAATAATTTTTAATTTATTACTGAACAATTCCTGGAAGTTTCATTCAAATTCGAACAAATTTTCTGATTTTTTGCCAACATTTCCAAATTAATTTGGTGCTGCTTTAGCGTGTGTCCTACAAATCAGTTTCTGTTTTAATTCTCCTACATTATTAAGGAATTGTAAATATATTTTACCAATCAATTTCTGCTTTAGTGTCAAATAATTCAATTATTTTACTTGTAAAAAAAAAAAAAATAAACCTATATTTTAAAGACCATAAATATCCCATGGACTGATGCTAGAAATTTAATTCTGTGTATGCTTACAAAAGTTGCTCTTGACTCATTTTTAAACTTAGTTAATATTTCTTGTGAATATATTTTGAAATATTCCTCTTACTTTTTAATAAAAATGTCCTCTGATTCACAAACTATTCAGCATACTAATATCTTCATCATTGTTTTCGTCACTATCATAAGATTTAACAAAGTAAAATTTTCCGGTGGTATTTTTCTTCAAATTATATCTTAAATCGGAGGCATCAGAATGTTTTATTTCACAAATTAATTTAATAAGGATCTTCATAAAACTGGCATTTGTAATAAAGATTTCATAACTATTAATCATTCACAGAGTTTTTATTTGGTTAACATGTCTGTTATTCTCCATTTTACAAAAGTAACTTATTAATGACCATCAAATTTTTAGAATGATGGACTACATATAGTGTGGTAGAAATTCAAATATTTCCATTGTACAGCAGAAACAAAAACTTATGTGTGTTATTGACTATTCCCCATGCACTATCGGACCTATTTCTCCAACTGAATTTACCAACTATTGCATCATCTTGGTCTTTTCCTACTTTGGCATTCGGGTCTCCCATGACAATTGCATTTTCTTGCAATATGCATTGTCTAGTAAAGCATTTCAATTTTTTCTTTTACACTGTTATCAATGCATATACAACTGTGATGGCTACACTAAAAGGTTTCATTTTAACTACAAGTATTATATAATATAGTTGATAGTACTCCAAAACACATTTCTTCCTATTTTGGCCTAGGAGTCCTACTCCTCTCTCATTTTTCTCTCTGCCTGCACAGATGACAGTGTTTGAATCTAATTTAAATTGGAAAAATTAAATCAAAATAAGAAAATTTTTTAATGACAGTAAAAAGATGCTGACAGACAAAACACACACACACACACACACTTTCAGGAGAATCACACATGATATATGAAAATATAACATCCTTACATTCTAACCAAATGATGATTTATCTCCTTTAAAGAGATCTTAAATATTTTACATCATGTAATGCCTGGCTTACACAACAAACAAATAGACTTTATAGTTTTATGTAGTCTATTTTTCTTCTGGGGAATCTTCATCTCTTCTGTTTTCAGTGGCAGAAAACAGATCACGAATTAGAAACCTTATTCATCAGACTAACTCCCAACTAGCTTTTAAATCTTACTTGTCCCATATTTTCAACAAATTATTACCAGTGTGCCTCTGAATAGATAAATAAATTATAAATAGATGAAAAAAATGGAATAAAAAAAGCAAGACAAAAATGAAATGACTCAATTTTATTAAATTTTTTTTTTTTTTTAAAAAGATATTTTTCTTTTATCTAAAAACATCATAAAAATACTTTTGTTGTTGTTGAAAGCAAGTCCCAAAATGTCTTACAATTGATGGATTTCAGATCAAATCTTATCAAATCCAAGACTATTCAACATCTTTCAAACGATACTGTTGAATTAAAAAGAAATCATAAATAGTTCACAGTTTCTTTTAACTGCTCTGGTCACACATGTTTAAATGCCAGAAGTCTGTTATCTCAGCTTCAAGCAAATGCAGAAAATGAATGGTAGTTTTACCAATCATTTTCTGTGATTAATAATAAGTAATTTGATTATCAAATGAAACATAAATGATGTGTAAAATGATACATGGGGAATATTTCAAATATGCTGTATCAATGTTTGGACCCCTCTTTAAAAAAAAGAGAAAAAAATAGTTTATTTGAAGAAGTTAACAATTATTAAGGTCCATGATATACAATAAACAGGCAGGATACATGCATTCTTTCAACCTGGTAAGATAAGGCCATGGCAGTAAACTTTAAAGATCACCATATGTGCCCAGCTTAGAAATCTTATCCTTTTGCTCCATATTTTATTAAATATTTTCAAATTTTGTCAAAGTTTAATGGTATATCAAAAGGATAATTTTTTTCTCTTGTCACCACTATTACTGCATACTCCAACAAATTTTAGTTTTAAAAAGCTATTTTTAGAATTTTAATAACACATGGAACTGGATTTATGCATTGTCTTTTTCTCAATAACTGACAAAAAAAAATTAAACGCAATTCTTGTAAATAGTCTAATAGTTTAACATTTTAGTTGTCAATTCTCAAAGAAAAAAAAAAAATAAATCCAGATGTTTGCAAATTATTTTAGTGAATTTATGAAGAGAAATTTTTAAAAAATGCCCAGAAAATGCATTTTTTCAAAATTGATTAGTTTCTCGTGGTTATATTTTCTTCTCTTGTTCAGACAATTTATAAATTTATGATTAAAAAATTTTTTTATAATTATTTTTTTATATGGTAAATAATAAATATTGCATTGTAGTTAGTGTCAATATTTTTGGTAAATTTGTAAATATAAAATTATTCTTGTAAATAAATTAATAAAATAATATTTAATATTTTGTTAATTCTTGGAAAAAAAAAATGTATGAATCCAGTTTTATTAAAATTCTAAAAATATCTTTGTAAAACAAAAATTGTTGAAGTATACAGTAATAATGATTTCAAGAGAAAAATTATCCTTTTGACATTTTTTTTTTTTTAATGGAGAATAAATGTTAAACTGCCCAGATTTTTTTTTTTCAGTAGTGATTCAATATTAGATTAAAAGGAATTAAAATTTTCCTACAACACATTTAACACATCAGAATAACTCCATCTTAATGAGGCTAAGATATAAGATACAGGATATTCTTGTAGGTTTATGCTCGATATACCAGGGCAGAATTATCACTTCTGCACCAGCTTACCAATATATTTTATTAAAAATATTCAAATTTCAGCAAAGCTTAACATTGTTTACATTATGGAATTCTCTGCTGGCTTTGTGCTTTCCAGTCAACTTTGATCCTCAAAAATTTAATGTGATGTCAACTGTCATCTCCTGTCTCCTTATTTCTTGTTTTTTTTCTTTATTATCCTCTCTCCTTAATAATGATTATTTCTCAGATTCTTTCACACTCGATAACCCCTTGCATCTTAGTGGCTTTATTGCCTAGCTTGGGATTAAAAAAAAAAAAAAAGAAGGAATTATATTCTGGCTAACACATAGAAAGTATGTGTTTGGTTATGTGTAGATTCTACAAAAAAATCACTGAGACACAGACAATTAATTTCATATCATCATTTTTGATAAATGACAACTTTTCTACAAAAAATATTTATATTATTATTGTAGTTAACTAGACTGGATAGCCTTTTAAGAAGGCCAACTATTGCCTACTCTCATTTTGTCAAGTGTGTTTAATTGACCTTTTATTAGATTAAGAGAAAAAAAAGAAAAATAATCATTCTGATTAATAATATTCTCTTTTCTTCTTCCTAGTAACCCATTCTTATTTTGACCTACCAATTAAACAAAATGCGTGTTATTTCACAATTGGCAGCTCTGGCCATAAACACTGTGCAGTTTATATATCAATGGCCAGACTGCTTAACAACAGGAAATTGTTTATAAAAACATTCAGTGATTTTGGTGATGACATTTAATGACCACATCTTTGATACTTTGGTGTATTCATTAACTGGGACAGCTGGAAGTTATCACCAGATGTGATCTTAAAAAGAAAATTACTCTGTTAAGCTGGTTAGAACCAGCTAGGAGACAGAATGATGTCATTTGTATATATGAAGGTGAAACCATCTAAACTAATAGCCTTACTCATTTGAAACTACTTTTCCACATAAAAATAGAGTGTACACCTAACAAACATATGTACTCAAAATGCCATTAAATGTTCATGTGGCTTAAAAAAATCATTTTTTAAAAGAAGATAATGTCACCTCAAATTTTAACTAAAAAAAAAACAACAAAAAACAAAAAACTGACCTATAATTTGTTTATAATAAAATCCTATATTTCATAACTGTGTATATCACCATATTCTTGAATAATGAGGAAGAATGATTTGTAGACAAGTGCAGTGTCCATGCAACAAGATAAATCTCAATTATTCCAGAAATCAGTTTAAAACTTTACACCATTCATAGCCATGAAAACAGTAACAAAGCCCAAATTCTGAATGGTCCACTTCATTAAGGGCTGAGGTAGAGATAGAAAAAAAAATGATAAAGTAAAGAAACATGAATTTGTTTCATTTACAAAAGTTCAAGCCCTGATTTTTTTTATATTTATTTTTCTGGTCAAGAGTCAAGCCTCTTATGCAGACAATGGAAATAGAAGAACCACATTGCTGACAGGTTACAATACACATAACTATATTAGACACACTGGGTGTTAGTCATTATTATATAGCAACATCATTCTCAGTAAATAGGTCCTTCATCCATGTCATCATCATCTTCATCACCATAATCCTCTCCATTGTCAAAATAATTCAAGTTGTAGTCATTATCCTGTAAAATAAACAATAGAAAATTACATCATAAAATCATTCCTTTAAAAACAGAAAGATGAGAAAAAAAATTATAGAAAATTTGTAGAAAATGAAAGCCTACAACAATGACATTTTGTTTTTCTATCTCAAAATGAAGCTACTGAACCTCAAGCAATCAGATGCAAGCCAGCAAAAATCAATGAATTACATTGTTTTCAGTCACTGTAAAGTGTTACAGTAATTTGATTTAGTCTTTCAAGCTAACATGTATTTTTAGCCAGAGAACAATCCTAAAAGAATATGCTATCAACTATTCTATGCTAAACACAAATATAGGTTGCATTATTGCTTTGCAAAAACATTCAGCATTTTGGCTTGTGTTTGATGTAACCCCCTAAGTGTTCCGAATTCATCAAAATTATGTGCAAATGTGTATAGCTGAAAATATACTAGCCATTCAATTTACCAGAGTAAAGTTGAAACAAGACAAAATTTGATCACTTGTTAATCTATTAAAAAGATCAATGTATTCATTACAGTACATAATGTATTTAATTATGTGTACAGACACAAAGATTAAATTACTAAGAGATGAAAACCCTTCAGGAAATGCTTGTGTGATGCACTGGTAAATGCCATAAGTCTAAACTAAAAGTCAACATAATTGCTAAACTCACCTCTTCATCCTCTTCTTCAAAAACTTCTTCCTCTTCTTCAGCTTCTTTTTCTTCATCTTCATTTTCTTCAGTCTGATTATCTTTCTTTTCAAGGCTCTGGTAAAAAGAAACACGGCAATGTAAAACTTATTTCAGATTTGACCAATGCAGCATTCCAACAGATCTGTGAAAACAAAAAATTCCAGGACTATCTTAAAAAAGTCTGAAGGACTAAAAGAGACACACACATGTGACGTAAATGGTCATCAATTGCAAAAACACAAACTTTGTGATTTATCTTTTAATAGTCTGACAGATGAGATGTTCAAAGAAAAGCTGCAGCTGGTTCCAATAATTCATGTCATATTGATCAGTTGAAAGCAGTGATGAACTCCAAGTGTTGACAGCTAAAACACAAATGAATGCAGACTTGGTTATGTTACATATTTTAGAGTTCTACTGCACTTGAAAATTTTGAATTACACAATTTCATTCTTACAGCTACACATCAGTTCATCTAGTTTAATATTCAGCTCCTCTTCCAATTTTGATATCTCTATAGATTTGACCTTTGCAGATCTTTGCATGGAATTGGACTTTGCGTTAAGTATGAAATTCTGAGTCTACTTAGCTTTCTCCTCATAGCTGTCAGCTGACTTGAGCAAATCGTGCAACTTTTAAGCTTGTGTTTCTTGGTCTTCAGTTCTTCAATTTCCATAAGCATGAATTTCCGTTTTTTTCCAACTGCTTCTTCCTTCTTCTCAGTATCAAAGTATTGGTTGTAGGCACTGCAAAGAGCCTTAGTCATGTGAACATTCCCAGCACCTCCAACTGTGGCCAAGTAGTCTGCTGTTTTATATTGTCAGTCGAAATTTCCTTATTGACCGAGAAATCACTCTCCTGTGAGGCCTATCCATAAGAGAGTACCAGCAATCTGCTGCAAAACTCTCCAAAGTTTTTCATATTCTTTGTTGCTAGACAAAGAAGAGTAGAACAAAGTGTCCAGTCTTTGTGCTTGTTGAAATTCTTGAAAGTAACATTTCCAGCAGCCTCCTCCTCCTTGAACCTTTTGTATTGACTGATGATGTCATCACAACCAGGCTTGCTGACTTGTTTCCTGTCCATCATGTGGGAAAGACATCTTTTTAGACTGTCTTTGGTAGCAGATTTTTTTTTTTTTTAACAAATGGATCCAGGTTCAGCCATGCAAGTGAGTTTACAAGAGGGCAAATTGTCTTTGTTGCAATTCTGCATGTCAACAGATTTCCTTTTTTGGATAAATTTTGCATAGCCCTATCTGCCAGAAATTCACACTCAATCTTTGCAGCATCTTTATGCATGTTTGGGTTTGACAAAATTCTTACAAATTCATTCAGTTTGGAAAAAGTAATTATCTTTTTAGTGTGCGTTTCCTTTACAAATCTTAACAGTTTCATGATTGTGCTAAACAAATCATCTGCAAGGAAAGGTAGCAACAGTTTATCACTGACATTTTATCAGAAATGGTTCAATGTCTTTAAAACATATACAAAAATCTGCCATTTCAATGGAAATGAAATATTATTCACCTCTGATAACACTGCAGAGAAGGACTTGGTCTAGGTTAATTTTTTTTTTTTTTTTTAATTAAGTTCACAAATTTGATGACATTTTACCAAATATCTATGGAGTCATTCACATGTTTTGTACATTTTCTAGCCCATCTATGGCAGAAATACAAAAATAAAGGGACAGGATTGCCAGACTGAACTTTTAATATAAAGCCAAGCAATAAAAAACAAATAAGTTTTAGATATTTTTTCACACTTACAACAAAAGCTAGAGATACGGGTCATTATTAGCCTGCAAACTTTAAAAATAACATTCTTATTATTTCAAAGATGGTTTTTCTATGCTAAGACACATCAAAGGCACATTTTCTATTTTATCATCTTCATTTTCTTTGAGTCAAATTTGATTCTCAAATTTGTTACTTTTGGCAACAATTTTTAGACAAATGTTGTTTGCACATAGGTACACATTGACATGGACATATATCTTTATTTTTTTAGCATGTGCTCACCCACTGCTGACTAAAGATCAAAAGGACTTTTTGTTTTTGAAATTGATACCTGAATAAAATTTCTTCAATTGTTCAAATTTTAAAAAACACTGATAAATTTTTAGAGATTCTACTAAAATGTATTTTATTACTGTAAAATAATTCCTTATTTTCCTTTCAACTACAGATTCAAGGAGTGTGAATTCATTTATCTTTGACAGTGATGTTTACTATGTCTCTGACACCTTTTATCTTTGCTTTTCCTCTTTTCTTATACTGTGAGAATAGCAGCTAGACAACACACCTTCATATTCTTTCCCCTCTTTCTTTCTCATCACCTAAACAAGAAAATACAGAAGTAACTACAAGGTCATGAACTCATTCTAATCTAGGAAACAAACCACCGTTTGCAATAATTACCAAATATTACTAATGACTAAAAAACATTTTTCTTGAAGGACAATTTTAGCTTGGAAAAAAAAAAAAAAAAAAAAAAAAAAAATCTAGATTTCTGGAATTTAGCATTTTGAGTTTGATAAATTGAGAAAAATTTAGAAAATTCCAGGAAATTTAAAGATTTGGGACTATTGCTGTTTTTCCAGGGCTTTTCAAGTGCTGGAAAAGGCCCTGTTAATTTTCCAAGACTTTTCAAGGTTTTCAGGACCTGTACAAACTTTGCCAAATCAACCTAAGGACATTTGGTGCCTCTTAACTTACGATACCAAAGACAACACTTTTTCTTGATAAGCCAACAAAATTAAGTGATTATATAATCAAATCCGTGCAGGATAGCACAGGTTTTTAGTTAAAATTTAAAAGCAGTGGGGAGGAGTGGGGAAAAAAATGATTGCTTCTAACAGTCAATTTCCTTATCTAAATGCAAACCATTTCCATTATTTTTAGAAGAAAATTTATATAAGTTTCTTTACTCCTTTTTTCTTTTAACTTTCACTGTCAGATTTTACAGTTACAAGCTGAATTACTATTTTTTTTTTTATTAAGCCAATAAAAATTAATCAAATTAATTCATCAATTTCTATTATAACTTTATCCATAGGAGTTCAAGATCAGCTCATAATTTGATTGCAGTACAAAACATTGTCTATTTCAAACTTATGAATCTGAAATGGGAGATTATTAAAGTATTATAATTGAAAACTGATTCAACCTGTTATAAAGAAAAGCTTTAGTTATGCAAATATTTTCTACAGAAAAATGACCCTTCACTTTATGTGACAGAAAAATTTCTAATTTCTAGAATATTATGAACAGTCCTCATCAGTTATTAGTTTCATCATATCTATTCAATTCTAAGTCTGAATTTGCTCTTCTTTTAACTGCCAATTTTAAATATATTGGCCTTGTTTTTCAGTTACATGGAAATATTTATTCATTTTTACCTTTTAATTCTTGTTCAGTTTCCTTATCAATATCTTAATTCATTTCTAAAGCTTAGCCTTAGTAAATATTATCAAATTAAATCAACATTAGTTACAATGGAACCATTGTCTTTGACATACTAAGTGAGAAAAGCAGGGAGAATTTTATATACCTTGAAAGTACCATGACTATGTTTGTTACCATGGTAAGGTAACAGAGATAAGATTTGTTATTTCTCCAGATAAGTGAAAATAATGTTCAGGGTATTGTTCTTATTTATTTTTTTTTATCATTACTGTTATGAGGAATAATAATGATAATCATCCATGCAATTTCACAAGAACACAGGAAAAATTTGAAAAATGAAGAATTTTTCTTTTTTTCCCTCCATGAAAACTAGTTTAAAAAAAACAAAAAACAAGCTTCAATTGTAAAAGAGAAAAGATTATTAACAAGTTATGGTAATTTAAAAAGGAAAATTTACTTGAGGTTAACAAACATAGACCTATCCTTGAACCTCGCTGGAGAGATTATTTTAAGCCATCTTTATTTGGTTCTATTGTTCTTGTTTTTTTTATTCATTTTTGCTTTCTTTTTTGAAATCATGACAGCACTTAAATTTTTCTGTGTGAATCTGAGTTCAATAAAAACATGATGGTATTGTGTACTTACCTCTAATGTCTTGAGTACTTCAGCAGCTTCAGCCTTGCTTGGAAGATTAGGGCGTGGAGTGAACCTCACCTTCTTTAATTTCTTGCGATTCCATTTGAGTTCATTTGGCAAACTGTCCCAGTCTGGGAGAAAAAAAAAAAAATCACAGATTGAACAATGAGCTCTAAAATAATAGTAATGGTAGCCAAGTTGTCATTTACTTTTGAGTGTAGGTTGTGGTTATAAATTGTGACCAATGAACCAACCAAATAATTTGCCATAAAAGATTGGACTAATTTCTATGCAATAACCTTAGGGTTACAAGTACATTCTCTACTCTTCATATTTACATTAAAATTTAATTTTAATATTTTGATGAAACAGATGGCTATGTTTTACAAAGTGAATGTAATTAAGCAGACAGCAGTTTTAAATAATGAATTTGGTTCAGTATCCTATTTATGCTGGTACAAGGCTAGAGGAAAGGGAACATGCTGTATGATTGTGTTATACCAATCTTCCAATTTGGAATAATCATCCTTCCTACCTTTGAAAAATCAGCATTCTACCTGGATTCAAACACAATCTACTGATGTAAATGTGAAATGTATCTACCTCAATCACATAATACAGTGGTAGTGCTAAACTGTTTTTCTAAGGAGATTTTTGCAATAAAATGGCAATGGTTTTCGTGTAGACAAGACAATATTGTGACCAACTTGATCACGTTTCTAGAAAAAAGAATGACGTAAAAAAAAGATTATCGGTGAATACTCCAGAATATATCCCGATATATTCTAGAATAACCAGTTTTTTTTTAAACTCATATGTAAATAAGTAAACAAGGGAAAATATAATCAGTATTTAATAGTTATCTCCCTTTAAAATTTTTCCTTCAATTGATCACCAATAAGGACCTCACACTATTTCTTAATTGCAAATCACTAGTTTTCTTAACCATTCTTTAAATTAGTACATTTAAGGATAGTTTTCGTTATACTTCAGGCAAGAATGTATCGTTTTTTTTTGGTTATGAATACGTAATACAGACATACGAGTCATGCAAGATAAGAAATTTTTATGAAGAATCTCAGGTCTTCAATCAGACATTGAAAAATTAGATGTGACCTTTTGGAAAGGAATAAGTCAATATCTTGCTCAGGAGTAATCTAAAATCAGGCAAGGCAAATGAATTCAATTCCTTTAGGAATTTTACATCAATAATCTGATTTTAGAAATTAGTTTTTGTTATGAAGTAAAATCTTTTGAAAAATTTCAAATGTAAATTTTATAACAAATTAGATGAAGTTATATAGAATAATGAATAACAGAAATGATTGACTAACTATCCACATATATTGATCCACACACTGAAAAATATGCAGATTTCGAATGTACTTTTTTTATTTGCAGCTAGATCATTTTTTTTGAATAAGATGATTTACAAGATTTTATCAAGATGATAAATTTGACCTCCATAAACTTATTTAAGAGGAAGGAGTGGGTGACAAGTTCTCTGAAATAATGGACTGAAAAATTTATCAAACCATTGTTCTTACCTTGAAAATTTTGATTTCTACATTGCACAATATTTTGAGGAATTACTAATTAAAAAATAATGAAAGGCATTAAGAAATAAATAAAAAGACAAAGCAACTTAACCTGGTTCCCAAGAGTTGTTATTCTCTAGAGACGTTTGGTATTTGTCAGAGTAACGGTGAATATCTTTCTTTTTTTCTGTTACCTTTATGTAAAAAGGAGATTCATGAATGGTGCCCCGAAATTCTTGTTTAAGGGCCAGCATATATTCATATTCCTCTCCTTGCAGCAAAGGTACAGCTTTCAGTTCAAGTGGCTTTAAAATAAACAAATAGATTAATCAGTGAATAAATAAATATTTCCCATTGATAACATTTTTTGTTAGTTTTTTTTTTTTTTTAAAACCGTTTGAAAATTTAATCTAATTTAATCTAAATCCTGCAAGTTAATTGTTACTTTTGGTTTTTGTTAAAATTTTTCAAGTCAAAAACGAGGTGCATTCAATACATTGGAAAATACAGTAGTGAGCAAATTAAAAGAAAATTTAAAATTAACAAATAGTGTCTATTTTGGTATGAATTTTAAAATTTCTGTGTTATCTTCTTTCTTTATATCATGAGTTTTGTAACCCATTTGGGTCGCAGAGGCATCATGTTCTGCAGTGGTGTGTCTTGGACAAAACAGCCTGATGAAGGTCCCCCCACCCTACAGGTTGGCTTGAATTCAGAGTTTTCCTTCTCCTACACTGGTTGCCAATAAAGGCCATAGAGCCCAGCCTGTTCTGCTATTTACCCATAGCTGTGGGGAGAAGAGACGGATTCATATCTTTTCCCAAGGGTATTTGTGCGCAAATGAACTTGACTGGAATTCAAACTCAGCACTCCAATTTTTCATTCTGAACTGCTATTATATTCATTTTTTTTTTTTTTTTTTTTTTTTTTTTACATAAAATGAACATGTAAGTCTACTGTATTTTAGCAATGATACTAGATGAAGTCTTTTTTTTTTCTTTATGGTCATATCTTTAAAAGTTGGAATATGCAGTAAAATGGAATTAGCAAAATTATCCTAATTAATGCAGTTTGATAGGTTAAAGCATTTTTTTATTTATTCCATGAGGTAAATTAATTAGATTTTCATAGGCTATTAAAAGAAAAATGGCAACACTATTTACTTCCCTTTAATTCCATTTCTTACTGCAGTAGGCTGGTTCCAAACCAAGGCTATAAAATCCAGTCTGCCCTGCTATTCAACTGATAATGGAATTGTGATAGGTTCATATCTTTTCCAAGAGTATTTACTCATAAATGAATGTAACAAACCTGACTGGAATTCAAACTCAGCTCTTCGATTTCTCATTACATGACACCGCAACGTGCATCTTACAATAATTATGAAATTTTAAAATTTTCACACACACAGCAGATTGATAAATGGTCTTTGAAATTTACTGAGTGAAGTTCTTGAAATCCTAAGGTATATAATAATAAAAAAAATGTTTGGAAATTTGAGCATAAAGAATTTTTGATAAATAATAGAGCCATAACAGTTGTTAATTGATTTACTTTTTATAGTTTATCAACCATTTCTGGAGTATTTAAAGTCAAAACATATTCTGGATTGTAAGAAAAATTGTGATTTTTTTTGTGAGTGAATATTGCATTAGCAGTTTTTTTTTGTTTTTTTTTTAAGAATAACGGTTTTTCCAGGTATTAGTGTAGTTCTACTATTTAACCCATAGATGAGGGGTTGCTTCGTACTTTTCCCAAGGAAACTAAATGTCACAAACCAGACTGGAATTTGAACTTGGATCTCAGATTTCAGCCATAATTATAAATAATACTAGAAAATCAATAGAATTTATCTGTTTCAATTATTTTTTAAATTTTGCTATCAATTTTTATAAGTATTTTTGCCATTTTCAAACATACATGCATAAACCATTTACATTTTTCTATTCTTTAAGTGATTATTACTTAAGTTAAAACTTTTTACAGCTTGACTAAAAAGTTTTCATTCATCCATCATAGTCCAAATTGATATTGCACTTTACGATTACGATATTTAGTCTGAATTTTGTTAGAGTATTGTTAAATTTAGTGTTTCAAACAATTCCCTCATAGAAAACGCAGGATTATCTCCCTTAGACCCCCCTTTTCTTTTCTTTTTTTTAACTAGCTTCATATTCCCTCGGGAAGTAGTTCAGTGTTACAGCCAAATCATTTGGACATGTAATGCAAAATAAAATGAAAAATAGCGTGAAGCTATGAAATCAAAGTGGTACTAGGCAAAAAAAAAATTCTCCAAGAGAAAGATTTACGTCGAGGCAAAATATTCATTCCCAGAAGTTAATTAAATTACTTTCTCTCTGTAAGATTATTGACCAAAAATATGTAACTTAAAAAAGACTAAAAAAGGAATTTTTCTGCACGTATTTAAATGGCATCTGGATGTTTAAACTGAAAAAAAAAAGGTTTGGAATAAATTTACAAATATTGTACATCGATGGCTATTTTTATTTTTCATTTTATTTAAATAATTTATGATACTTCGTTTAACTTTTCATATCTAAAAGTGGTACGTATTATTAGCTTATTTTTATATTTCAAAGTTTTTCTTACAGAAAAAAATATATAAATTTAATTTACGGACTTCTAAATTCAAAAGGAGCGCTCAAAAAAATAAGGAGAATCCCAATACTTTTCGAATGTAGGGGAAGACAATCAGTGTTTGGTATGAATATAAACTTTAGGATAAAAATTATTATTATAATTTTCTTGTCTTCTGCTTATGGCAGAAGACAAGAAAATAGTGGATAAAAGATAAATAAATAAATAAAAAAGAGCTAGATATTAATTAAACAAAGTCAATTCTGAAAAATGAAAAATTTTTTTTTTTTGTTATTTAAAAGTACAGACTGAACGATCAAAACAAAACAATCAATAAAAATTAATTACTGTATAAAATATTTCTTGGGATTCATTTTTGTTTTGTTTCTTTTCAAAAAAAAAAAAAAAGAGGGGTTAAATTTAATAAATTATACGGATCTCAAATAAATTTGTTTTTATTTTCCAAAGCAGAAGAAAAACGAAAAAAACATCCAACCACTTATGTACAAATTGTCGTCTTCACTGTCTGTCAAATCGGAAGTAAACTTTCGTCAGACATTGATATTTTTGTTCATTAAACTTACCGGGAAGAGTGGGGGTGGCTGATTGATAGCCTGTGGTAGGGCATCTCCTCGCCCAAATCCCAAAGCATCGATATTAAAAGATAATCCCCGGCCTCCTCTTCCTCGACCGGCCATACTCAATGATCAAGGGACCATGTGCGGAGATACTTTTTGTTGTTTTATAACACCAGAGAGCAATTCGTTCCGGGGACTTAACTCATAACAATTTTACGTGGTATGTTAAATTATAAGGTCACAACAAAAACAATGTAAAAAAACTGTTTTGTAACTTCAGTTTAAAACATCGACAATTTTGTTAACAAGTCATTATCGTTGCTCACTCATGAAAATCATTAAATTAACCTTGATTTAGATGAACTGAAAAGAGAACCAGTGAAAAGAAAACTGCTTGTATTTGTCTTCTCTAACATCTTGCAAGTAACATTTTGGATGGTTGAAACACATTATTAACCACATTAAAAGTATTAGCAGATTAAACCTTCTCTTTAGAACGGGTTTCTCAGTCCATTCCTGAACAATGATAGGATTTTGCTTGAACCAAATTCCTAGACAAGAAATTGCATTTTGGTATTAAATGAACAGCATAGAAATTGGATCTAGGTATGCATCTTTAGTATAGTCAGTGTAGTTTACTAGCATGACCACTCAAATTTCTCAAGGCTGGTGTGAGCAATTCATGATAGCCACCTTTATAAAAACCATTCAAGTATTTGTCAACTTTAATGAAGACCATTCCCATTTTCCTTGTGTTAAGTGATAACATATCATGCTGACCAGATGCAAACAATGTGTCTGTGCATCAATATCCTTCTTATAGTATGGACACCAGCATCCAATATTAAATATAGATTTATAAAAACCCAGGATTAATTATATGTTTCATTAATGCCTACTGTCCCAGAATAGGAAAGCAGCATTAATGGGTTAATATTGATTATAATGATGCATTTTGAATTGTGAAAAAATAATTGATATTCTAATTATTAATGTCTGAGAAAAAAAAGACATTTCATAGAATAAAACTGTTACAATATAAAAATAAAAAAATGGATTTTAGTTGAAAGATGTAATAAAGCAACTGACAATAAGTAAGGAAAACCAGAAGCTACAATAATCATGTAATACTTTGTCTGTTTTGACTATTCTTTTCCAGTTGGATGACATGTACTTCAATAGTTCATCGTTTCAGCTTCTTGTTTCATTTTATTTTTTATTTTTTGCAGAGGGATTTTCCAACAGTACAAATAAAAATCATACATCATCCTAGTGTTGACTGAATTTTTCCTCTCAGACTACATAATGACAATGGATCATTGAATTAAACAAAAACATACTAACAGAGAAAATAAAATGTGCCAGTTAATACTGTAGGGATTAAACCCGTTTTTTATCTGTTTGGCACTGTTTAAGGACTATAAAAGAAAAAATAGAATCTTCTTTTTTTTCTTTGGTTCGAAGATGTAGCAGTCTCACACATGAGCCTTCTTCCTCACTGAGGAGGACTGCTTTCTTCCGGTGACTGTTTTTTTACACATGCAACATGCAACATCCAAGCACTCCAAAAACATTGTAATTTTTGTGAAAATACATTGTTGCTATTTAAAAGAATGAAATGTTTGTTTATTTGTTCATCACTTACATGTGAAAATTTTGGTTCACACTGCTGTTAGTTGAGCTAGAAATAGTGATCACACCAGTACTAATTTCTTTAAACAAGTATATTTTTTATAAAACTAAAAAAAATCTTTTCTTTGTTTTACTTCAATCACTTTTTTGTTTTAACATGGTGATTACAAGATTCAGTAATGTTATGTTACAGGAGTTGATTTCTTTTTGAAAAGAAAATAATCACAATTACTAAAATCTAAAACAGTTTACACTATTTTTATCTTTTACAAAATTATTTGAATTCTGGTTTGGTTTTGATTACATATATCATGTGGCCAAGTAGTTAGATGGTAGTGTTCCAACCAGAAGACCCAGGTTTGAATCTCACTATGATCAATTTATCAAGGACATGACTTCAGTCAGTGGCTCAGAAACAGCTGCTGTGAAAACTGTGTAGGCCTTTTCTGATTGGTCAAATAAAGATGTTTTATGACCTTGCTATTTTTGGGTGGTATCCTGGAAGTGTGTGTGTGGATGGAGCTGGGTGAAATTAAGGCCAGTATTTGCCATATGAGCTGTGGATGTCAAAGTGAGCACTTCTCTTTGAGTTATAGAACTGGAGTTCCGACAGGATATGACAATCGCAATAGATAACCAAAAATTGATGGTTGCAAGTTCTGAAATTCCTTAGGAAAAATATCAGATGTAATGTAACATGGAGGAGTAAGAAGAACATAGCTTCATGGATCAAGCAAAAGGTTATGTTCAACATTCCTGGAATATGGCAGCCACCTGAAGAAGGTTGGTGAATATAGCGGCTGAAATATTAGATAAAAATAACAAAGATGTTATTTTTTAAGATTGTAATATATGCATGTACAGTAAGACAAGGAAGGAAGGAAGGAGAGAGGAAAAGGGAAAATACTGACTTGACAGCCACAACTGTTGTATTATTTGCTGATCAGGCAAGTGGTACAAGTTCCTGAAAATGATAAAAGGGACTGTGAAAAGAACTGGCCAAAGGTAGAATTGGCATTTTTATCTGTTTTGGGAGGAATCACAGAAGCATTTGCTGTCAGTCTGTGGTGTCATCTGACTGGGCAAAAAAGAAAAAAAAACAAACAAACGTAGACCTTGGTCACATAAAGTAATGACTACTATGTTCATACAGCAGTCAGTCAACAACATTGCACTTCAACCCACTGACTGTTCTATTTTGAGTCATAATTAAAAGGTTCAAGAATCATAACAAGATCAGAATTTCATTTTAGGTTCAAACAAAATTGATCATTTTAGCAACATTAACATACACTTCATAAACAGAATTCAGTTTCTTTATAATGTTTTTTTTTTAACCTGAATGGTAAAGGAGCCTGACCAAAGCACATTTTCAGGAACAATTTTGCATCTCAAATCCTAAATTACAAAAAAAAAAAAAAATAATATAATGAATGCCAATGTGAATGTGCAGAAATAATAATTCTATACTAAAATATAATAATTCTGTACTAAAATCATAACCTGTGGTAAGTATAGTGAATTCCATTTTTTACTATTGATATAGGGGGGAATGCTCCAAAAGTTATGACCTCTTATTTCCATGGAAACTACAAAAAATAGAGTAAGCACAATAATGCTTTTGATTAGAGCAAGTTCTTTTTCTTTACTACAATACACTATTTTTTCCACATAGTCACCTCCATTGGCTATGCATTTTTGTTCTACAAGCATCACCCCTATCTATTTCCATACAAATCGCAACTGAATCTACTTTTTTGTCTTCAATAGGAATAGATAGGTTAGTCTATCATCCAGTTCACACTTCTCCCTAATATTTTGAACAGAAGTAGAGGTTTATACCTTGTTTCTTGTTCCGGTTTCTTCTAAAGTCTTTTTCTTCTCTTTTGCTTCTAGTAGCCCCTTGTGTCTTCACAGCATTATCACTTTGCTTGGGGTGAAGTGATAAAAAAAAAAGAAACAATTTACTAGTCAAAACTTTTACTCTAGTGAAAACAATGTTCTAAAAATGACCTTAAGACTGAAAGTTACTTAAAAAAACATTTGAGAATAATCCATATTTGATTTATGGACAAAATTTAATGTTTTAAATTAACATCAAAATATTAAGTAAATTATCTTTTTTTTTTAATTTTAATGAAATATTGAATATCCTACTGGTGTCACTTTCTTTCTTCTTTTTAGTAACATGTCCCTTCAATATGCAAGTGATCACAGCTCTCCACAGATTCTTTTTCTTTATTTTCCTTAAATTGCCATGCATTCTTGATAGTGAAGAGTTTTCACATTGTCTTCTTTGAAATTTTGAATTCCATGTTCTCCTCCTCCTAGACTGGCTATCACCCAAGGCAGGGTATAGAATCCAGTTTATACAGTTAGCTAGGGGAGAGAGAAGAGAGAGATTCATGCTTTTCTCAAAATCATTAGTGCAGATGTAAATGCAACAGAGTAGACAGAACTTGGTTTTCTGAAAGTAGTTGCATGATGCTATGCACACATTCAATGCATATTTTTACAGGCATTTTTATAAATAAAGCATTCTTCATTTATAGAGAGAAATTGATTCTATTAATTACCCTGTATGTAAAATTTGACATTTTTTATTCATTTTTTATTAATTTTGATTCTTGTATAACTCCACACCATTAAATTTCATTCCCTTAGTTAAAAAGTGAAGTAGTTATTCATAAAGATTTACTGTTGAAAATTTTTAAGCATTTCATTTGCTGATGAATATAACAAAAAAAATCTCAAAACAAAATTAAAATAACTTGATCAAATTTTGCTCAATTAACACAATTCAAATGTTATCCACGCCACTAAATCTTTTATTAAGAAACAGGTTTTTTAATTAGTTCTTGTTTAAAAACCTCCATATAAATTGTTGTTTAAAGTTTTATTAGCTAAGACTGAGTTATTTTTCCTCTTATTCAATTACTCTCGTTAAAAATAAAAATGTCTTTGTGACACAATTTCTTTTATTTGCCTCCAGTTCTTATTAAAACTGAGCCACTTAGCAACTAAAGATCTAACAAAATGGATCTATTAAATTAAATAAAATTGTTTTATCACTTTTTCCTTGGCTGATATTTTCTTTATACACTTTACAAATGTATATAGACATTCATTTTTAAAAGTATGTCTTTTCATAAGATTTTAGTTTTATGAGAAAAATAGTGTAAATATTACATGAAAATCCCATTACATCTCTCAAATGAAATTTGAGATAAATGATGATTAAAAAGAAAACAAATAATTTGCTTTAGTTAGTTTTAATATATATATATATATATATATATATATATATATATATATATATATATATTCATGAATCATTCATACAAAAACAAATATAGAGGTTAATGATTTAAATGGCGAGAATACATCTTCGCAAACAATATAAATAAGATACATCAACCCCGAACCTGTATATTTGTTTTTTGTATGAATGATTCATGAATTTATAAATTATAATTGCACCTTTAATTGAAATTAAAATAACTGATCCAACGTGCAACTTTCGGATAATAAGTGTGACATTACTGTAATTATTGAACAATATAGACAGAAAATCTACCAGTAAAAAAGAATTCTTTTTTGTACAAAAACGCACAACCTTAAAATTTAAATTCAAACTCAGCGTTGCGACCGCACGTTCCAAAACAATAACACATTTCTCATAGCATTTTTTCGGATTACATCTCTATTTTCATTGTCCTCTTATTACCGAGAAGTAAAAACAAGACCACAATCTATTTCCATACCTGAGGATATCTGTAGGAACAGACGAAAGATTGTAAAAAATTAAAAGACCTTATCCAACTGGAATTTATGAACAGGGATCATATCATTCATATACAAGTTTGGGGTTGATATATCTTATTTATATTGTTTGCGAAGATGTATTTTCGCCATTTAAATCATTAACCTCTATATTTGTTTTTTGTATGAATGATTCATGAATTTATAAATTATAATTGCACCTTTAATTGAAATATATATATATATATATATATATATATATATATAAAAGAATAATTAGGAAAAAAATTTAAAAATCCATAGTCAGTAATAAATTTATTTCAATGAACATAGGCATATTCATTGAAATAAATTTATTACTATGGATTTTTAAGGTTTTTCCCTAATTATTCTCATAATTTGCTCTGTATCATACATTGAGCTCTCATATGTACTGAAAAGTCCCTTTGAATAAGCCCTACCAATTACAATTTGGTATTATATATATATATATATATATATATATATATATATATATAATAAATGAAATAATTTTATTTTATCTTAAATTTAATATGAAAAAAGATTATCATTAGAAATTTAATTTAATAAATAACTAAAAAATTAAAAAAATAATGATGGGAAATTTAATAAATAGCAAATCGTTTAAAACAACCTTTCATAATTTAAAATTTAAATAATTATTATAAAATTATTTAGTACAAACAAACTTAATACTTTTTTTTTGTCCATAAGAAGAAAAAATAACTAAAAAAGCTTTGTATTTAAAAATGTAGGTGGCGTTTATTATATAAGGACGAAAGAGTAAACATAGAAATTCATATCTTTAGTAGTTTTATATTATTATCTTATGTGATTATATAATTTGTAGAAAACAATGTGCATGCAAACTCTGCTAACACATGCATATAGCTAGGTAGATATTTTTATGTATTTATTTGGCGTTCACCTGAAACAGATAAGTTTAAGTACAGAAGCACTAAAGGGTAAAAACAATGTACTTTCGAGTAAGTTATAAAGAGCCTTGCACATGTAAACAGTGGTGAAAGTTTATATATTTTAAGTAATTTTTTTTTTTTTTAAATATAAAATTGGTCATTTGAATTTTTCTCTCCAGAAAAAAGCTGGAATAGATATTGTCTTCAGCGGAAAAAGATGAAATCTTTCATGTGCGGTCGCCATATTTTTGTACTGTTGCTCACGTACGACAATGTCAGTCATGGTAGCGTCGAGGAGAGCGAGTAAGGATTGAAGCTTGACTTGGACGTCTACCCAAAAATTATGCGGTTTATCCGCAATTGACGTCCCACAGAATTACGAAAAGATCCCACTAAACCATTTCCATTAGTTTTTGAGGACCATTTTTCAATTTTGTTATTTTGAAATCCCATAACTAGCAAGGTTGTTTTTGTGTTTTCTTCTTCCACGTATTCTGACAACAACACAATTTGTACGTCCATATTTACTTTTTTTGCATATCGACTTAGGCAAAGAAATTGCTTTAATTCTTTTCTTTTACAACTCGGAACAAACATGCCAGTGCTATTCTTTTGGGACATATAATTGTTTTTAGTAAAATAATTGGTTTTTATCTGGTTTTTTTCCCCCCGTCCACACAAAATCACAATGTCTAATGCAACGAGAGTAAGCTTGAATTTAGTCAGATATATTATTCCCGGTCGAAATTCTTCAAAATCATTTTCAGGTAAGAAATTTTATTATCTTTTTAAAAAGTTTTATCTGTTTCCTATTTTAATCTATGTCGTTAAAAACAAAAAAACTTTAAATAAAATGTCTACTACTCTTCAGTATAAGTAGTTCTTTTAAAACGTTGTTCTTAGTTGCTGTTCTTGCTTTCTCGCAAAGAAAAAAAAAGAAAAAACCTTTTTGAAAAACGTTAGACTTAGAAATTGACGACGACAAAACAAATGAAAAGAGGTGACTTTTAATATCAGAATCGATTATAAAAAGTAAAAGGTCAATAAAAAAATGTTATAAACAAATTAAGATTTTAATCACAACCTGGAAATTCCAAATTATTGTAAAAATTTTCATAAGAAAATATTTTCATTATTCATTATATTTTTCATGTTTACTTCAGAATTTTATTTAAAATACAAAATTTCAAGATTAACAGTTGAGTAACACATTCATTACGTTATATTTTTTTTTAAATTTAAGATAAATAAATGACACTGACAGGATTTTGATGGAAAAAAAATAAAAGGGTAAACAAAGAAAGAATAATACAAAAAATATGCTTAATTTCTGAAACAAAAAGTTATATAAAAAATAGTCGAAATATTGATTTTTTTTTATTTATTTTGTTTTGTGCATATTTGATAAAGAAAAAAAACTGATGCAATAATACTTAATAATAGCAATAAATAATTCAATTTTTTTTCTTATTGAGAAAATTGTTGAAAAATTTCAATTTAATTTGAATTATATTCATAATTCGTGTACTTTTCTCAAATACGCTTCTTCTTCTTTTTTAATCTTTCTTTATTATTTAATTATAAATGTAATTTGTAAAACGATTCGTTTTTTAACACCAACATATAGTTTACTAAACTTTCAGAAAAAAATATTTTAAAAACTATACAATACAAATTGAAAACCAACGTATTTTTAAAATTAATTGCCAATTCAATTCCATCAAAAATCGATAATTCTGTTTACATGGAATTTTTATAATCATCAAAATTATTGGTAACTATAAAAAAGGGAATAATATACAAATCACGATATGTATTATTTTTTTCACTTGCAACATGATTTTTTTTAATTTAATAAACATCCCCATTTCTAAACAAAGCAGACTTTTGAAAATAACAGACTAAATATGAATTACTTTTTGTTTTCTGATTGAAGAAAAAAATCCAAGTTTGATACGTGCTTTTAAAAGTCAAGGCCAGACTTAGTTCCTGTGTAACTGACCTCTCCCCTTTGATAAGTTTTTTATTCCAATACTTAAAGCGATATCAGTTAAAATTTGGGAAATGAAAACATAAACAAGTTCATTTCACTGCCATTATTAGCTTGTTTGCTTTAGTTTGACACAAGGTTATAATAAGTAGCAAAATCACTGAATGTGCGAGACCAGTTTATTAACCTCCAAGTATAGTCTTTATCTCCCTTCTTTTGTAAGGATGGAATGAGTTTCCATTTTATCTTGTTTATTGACTAAGTGTTTATGCTTACAAAAGTATAATATGCTTTTTTTTTTTTTTTGAAGTTGGGTTATTTCAGTATTTGAGAAAAGATGGAATTGATTCAAGATAACCAGTTATAGTAATAAAATCAAGGGTAGGAAAGTATTGCTATATCCTAAGAATTAAAAAGCTGAATGGATTTATTGGCATCCCTGCAGAATAGTCAATCATTATATTTTGCTGACTGAATGAAATTTGTTTGTCAAATTTTGGGATGGTGGGATGGTTTTTCTGGAAAATTCAAGGATATGAAAAGATGACATTCCACTACTATACATTTACTCCCTTTTCTGCTTCTGATTTTCAAAAAATAAACAAGCTTGGATGACTTAATTTGTAAGCTACAGAGATTTAATTTCATAAAAAAATGGGACATTTATATTTCATTTAAATACTGATATGTAGATTGATGGTAACACATTTTAACGATAAGGAAGTTTATATTTCAATAATCATTACTACATTCGCTTGTAGACTTTACAGTTGTTTATCTAAACATTGCTCGTATTTGCTTACTCTTGCTTTACATTTTCAGAAGCTGAATACAATTTATGAAAAGGATTTAAAATGACCCCTTCAAACAAGGGTACAATCTGAATAATGTCACCTAGTGCTTCTCTAAAAAGCCTCATCCTATAAGTCATTTCAGGTTATAAACTGACTCTACAGTGTAATTATTTGTCTGACACATGAACTATTATTGCATATTCTTTACAAGTGTATTTTTCCTTCATGACTTAAGGTGACAATTATAACTAATAATCTTTTTAAAGTGTCATAATTGGTCATAAAATATCCTTCTAAAATTCTGACATTTTGTTATCAATCAAGTTTTTACTTAGCAATAGAAAATCCATTAAAATCTGTTTTTTTTTTTTTTTTTTTTTTTTTCAAGTAAATTAACATTTCCAATTTAGAAATCGATCAGTAGTACATTTTCTTCTGATAATAAATTATTTTGTTAAAGGAAATGTTTTCTATATTGTGCATTTAGTATTAAAAATGGATGAGGGTTTGTGAAAATAAACAAGAATAAGTTTTCTGAGTAAATGATTATCAGCAGCAATATTAATTTCTGAACAAAAATGTAATTAAGAAAGAAAAAGTATAGCATATTTTTCTTTCAAATAGTCAATCTATTTAGGTAATGCTAACAGTTTGTATTGTTGCCATGAAATTCCATTTTCATACAGCAAATGCTTTCTTTACTTTTTAAGTATGTTTTGTTTTTATTGTATTATGTTCTTTTATTCAGTACAGCATCCTGCAATTAAGATTTTAGGATTCTCTTCTAAATGCAGAAGTTTCCAATAAATCGAGTATTTATGTCAACAGAAATATTTATTCTGCCTCAATCAAATATTCCTGGCTCTCAAAAGACTTTGTGGAGAAAGTGTGGGAAATTGGAATTATTTAACAAAGTATAATTTGAAAATGTTTTGTTAGAAATTAGTATTTCCTTTCCATCATATCAAGTTTGAAACTTTATATAAAGAGATACACTAAGGCTGATTATTCAAAAGTATTTAGTCATGAATCTGTTTCAAAAATGTTTTTGTTTTCTTTCAAAATAGTTTCTTAGCACTTTTCTATTGATACACTGAGAACGAAATTGGAAAAGAAAAATCTCTTTCGCTGACAGAAAGAGTTAGTCTAAAAGGAGAGCTATATTTTTAAAATTAAATATTTGAATATAGGGATTGTGGGGACAAGAAGCCTAAACAATTAATCATTCTTTTTTGGTTTGTAATTTTCTTGTATTCTTTCTTTTTTATTCACACAAACTTTGATTTGCTTTTTATCATTAATTCCTCTGCAGTTTTTACCTTTGTCAAGCTTTATTGGATTTGTTTTGCTGCCTTACACTTTGTTTTTAATCTATTAAGATGAAATTCTCAAAAGTTCTTGGTCTGATTTTCTCTCCAAAATCTGTGTGTTATTTTGTCACTGTAGCTCGAGTGTTCTTTAATTATAAAATACCAATTTACATGATCTTTGAGCTTGTTTTTTTTAATTTGTTTCTGATTATTAACTGAACTATATTAATGGTGAGCGGACTTTTTAAGTTTAACTTCAAGCTGTTATGAAATTCTTGTTCCTGCAAAATAAAACACTAAAAGAAATCCATGAATGTCTGATCCAAACTTTGAGTAACAAGTGCCTGTCAGAGTCAACTGTTAAGAAGCTGAGTGCCAACTTCCAGCATGGAGAACTTTGAAAGCCTGAGATGCAGCACAATCTGGGAGGCCTTTAACAGTGTCAATTCTTGAAATTGAGTGTTTATGGCTTAATTTTTAGCTGATTGATAAAATAATTACTTGGATACTAAGGATAGCCAGGGAATGTATCTGGTTTATAATTCATGAGTGCTTGGTTGTGTATATGGACGCTGTTAGCTAAGTGCATGTCAAAATGTTTGAATACTGACTAGAGATGATGTTTAGTAGACATCTCTAAGTCGATTTAGTACTTTATTTACTCCAATCTAGTTATAATTTTTTAGAACAACTTGTCATTGTTAATGAAACCTAGTTTTACTGCTATGATCCAGAGGTTAAATAATAGTCCATGCAGTGGTGGAACTTGGGTACTTCATGGCTGAAGAATTTCAAAATAAAAAGTCAACAGGAAAGGTCATAACCACATTTTTCTGGGAATAAATAAGATATTTTGTTTTCTGAATAATGAAACCAAACAATGCAGAATATTAATCTAACTTGCTTGAACCAATTAAAAGAAATATTGAAAGAAACTGTGAGAGGAAACTGTTGTCTTTTATCTTTTGTTTTTAATAATGGGTATAAATAAACTTTTATAAGGAATAATGATTGGAAAAAAGCAGCACTTTCCCCTCAGATTTATACAGTATACCTACTTTTGCAACCCCGGTATAGCACTGAAAGCTGCTTTTTTGTAAGTCCTGTCAAACTTATTGATGTTCTTAAAGAATTTTAGGTTTGGGTGTATAGAACATGCACCCTACTCAGCAGATCATGCTTGATCTGTCTAATTTCTGTTGGCAAACCATAAAAGGAGTTTGGAAGAAAAGAAATTTTTGAATCATTCAAAGGTGATCAAAAGAACCGAGCAATATTTCAATGACCAAACAGCAGAATATTCTTGGAAAGTGTTAAAGAAACTTGAGAATATACACACTGTGTGAATTACCATGTCTGTTTTGTGGCTTGAAATTATTCTCTTAGGCTGAGAATGTTTCAGTAACCTATTATAAGTCAGTTTGTGCATTTTTATGTTTTATATCTCTTGAATAATATTAACAAATAGTGTAAATTTATCTTCAACTTTTCTGAAAAAAAACGGTTTCTTTTTTCATTTGTTTTCTGAATTTTTACAACTATTTGTATTAAAAAAAAAATCTAAAAAGTGCTTTTTTATGCTCTCTTTTATCTAAATTTATAAATAATTATCCGAGTGTTTTCTGCCCATTTTCAATAAAAGAATTTTTTAAAAAATTATATGTATCACTTTC